TTGACACGACACAAGTATAACTTGAAAGCGTGCGTTATAAGCTGGGTTGATATCTTGTAACAATCTCTATCTTGTGAAATTCTTAGTTTTAAGTCGACAGCCCAGACACAAGTACTAGTTACGAGAATGATTAGATCCCGAAACATGAAGAAGAAGCCGTGAGCAAAATTGTGACAACACAGTTTCTGTAAGTAGTTCTTATCGCCATTAGACAAACGAATCCCATTTTGTGGAGATAATTTGGTGCCGTGCGCAAAATTGTGACAACACAGTTTCTGTAAGTAGTTCTTATCGCCATTAGACAAACGAATCCCATTTTGTGGAGATAATTTGGTGCCGTGCGCAAAATTGTGACAACACAGTTTCTGTAAGTAGTTCTTACCGCCACCATTTTAACATTGACGAAACAAGGTGCTGTCATCCCCCCCCCCCCCACGTGGGTTGTTTCTGTCATTCTTTTTCGAAAACTGGTTGATGATTTCAGATTATAAAAAGACGCATTTTCTTTGTTGAATAACTGCCGACCTTGTTTCCCGACAATTTTGCTAGCATAGGCTGATTTGAAATGCTTGCATTCAATTGCGCAATGCTAGTATGTGGTCTTTCCAGCATGGTAAAAGCTGAGGCACTGAACCTGCAAACAAAAAGTTACGAATTGGCTAATTTTGACGTGGGTACAGTTATCTGTGGAATATTGATTTTTGCTGCTGGTGCTGTTACTATCGCAAAAGCCTTGGAAAACGGAAACGAGGAGTCATCTACTGAATCTTCAACAAAAGATAAATTATCTCCTTTACATAAGACTGAGTATAAATGAGGCTACCAGTCACGGTTACAGTCATGTTTTAGAATGGTTATGCTGAACTTTAAGACCACAACGGTCGCACCAAAACCCAATGGCAAGTTGTTACCCTTTAAGGTTTATATACATATATGATGCTAGCTACGTATGACTTATAGTTTTTGAATGGAATTGACAGTAATGGAAGAGTCAATAAACACAAAATATGAATATATGTTGATGCCTACCTCACTCACCCTCTATACCTGTTACATCATAGATTAGTTGCTACCAATTGTAAAGGGCTAGTGCGTTATAAGCTGGGTTGATATCTCGTAACAATCTCTATCTTATGACATTCCCAGTTTTAAGTCGACAGCCCAGACACAAGTACTGGTTACGATTATGGTCACATCACTGGACTT